AGCCTAACTAGTTGAGTATTGTGCATTCAAGTGTAAACATCATGAGAAAAATACCATATAAATAACAGAAAAAATGGTTGTTCAGCATTAAATTACAGCAATAAAAAATGACATCATTCGACATTTACTAAACTAGAGTGCACATACACAAAACTAAATAATCATTTCTACATTTGATTCACTATTTTATCCCAATTAAAATATTAAATAATACTACTATTCATTCAAAATTAAGTGAAAAGGAGAAAATAGAAAGAGAAATTCATTCAAAATTCTCCACTCAAATCAGTTCTAAATCTTCGTTTACATTTCTAAAGAGAGAAAATTTAGAGTTTTGATCTCGATTTTTAATTTCTCATATATAAACAAATTGTGAAAACATGTTTCAATACACAAGGAAAAGGAAGAGAGGTTTACATTAACAGTCACAGCTAGTGGTGGAGAAACAGCGTCGACGGCAGCAGGTCACAAGTTGGCACTGCGTGGCGTGCGTCGACGTTGTGGGATAAAGGGATGGAGGTAGGGCTTGGTAACTTTGGTTTACTTGTATTTTTGCAAAGGCATAATTGCATATATGGATGGGTAACATTCAAAATCTCACATTCAATTCATTTGCAATTATGGGCCTCAAAATTTTTTTTTTTAACAAAGGTCCAACTAAATACTAATGACAATGACTTACTAACTTGTTTGTTATGCATGAGTTATGTTAATTAACTTTGTACCCTCCAACAAAGTATACTTAAATTTTTAAAACTATACTTTAATAAAATTTATATATGAGAATTTATAATTTAATAAAAAAATATATTTTAATTAAAAAAAGTGCGATTTAGTTTGATTTTTTGCAGTTTTTAAATTTTGAAACTTAAACCATATANCTAAATACTAATGACAATGACTTGTTTGTTCTACATGAGTTAGGTAAATTAAATTTATACCCTCCAAGAAAGTATACTTTAAATTCTAAAAACTATACTTCAAAAAAATTTATATATGAGAATTTATAATTTAATAAAAATATATTTTTTAATTAAAAAAAGTGCGGTTTAGTTTGATTTTTTGCAGTTTTTAAATTTTGAAACTTAAACCAAATAGTTTTGAAACGGTTTGGTTTGGTTTGGTTTGATAGAAAAAAATTGCAAGTCCACGTGGACCCAAACCAACGACTTTGGTTTGATTTGCGATTTCGCGATTTTTTTGTGCAACCCTAGATACAAGTGTAAGTGTAGGTGGATTAATATTGAGAAGAAAAATATTTTTCTATTGTTAGAAAATTTTAAATTGTTTTACATGAGACTTGTTTGTACTTTTTAAAAAATTTGCAATTTTAGATGCAATTTTTTTATTTCTTTATTTTCTATTCGACTATTTAATGAGGATGATGAATTATTCATTTTATNGAGGATGATGAATTATTCATTTTATAATGTTTCAAGGAAAAAATAGATGATAAAGACCTTTTTGTGTAAAGAAAAATCGATTTGAGTGCCAATGTCAAAATTGAAACGATAAAGATGATCTGTGCAATCAAAGCAAACGATATGGATTTTTTTGGCAAATAACCTATATTTTATGGAATGATTTAGAGTGTGTTTGAGCCACATTATTTTGGAAAAATGTATTTTAGAATAGTAAATTGATGAAAAATGTGTGACTGAGAAAAAAAAGGAAAAGTTATGGATGTGATGGAAAATATTATTTTATTGAAAAATGTGTGGTTAAAAATATGTAGAATAATGAGAATGAAAATTTTAATGTGACTTAAATATGGGCTTAATGGCACATGAGAAAAGGATCAACTTCGCAATAAAGGTTTAAGATGAGGGTGTAAATATAGGTGCGAAACGATAGTGAACTATTTTCGCAATTATTACAAACGATAGGAATGATTGTTTTTGCTAATTACCCCTTTTTTCATAGAAATTGAGAATAGGACCTTATTTTACAATGTCATTATGAAAGGGTGCTTTTTAAAAAATACCTATTTTGACTTTTTTCGTCGCAATCTGAATCTCCACCCGACACCTCCGAACTGTATATAAACATCTCTTCCGAATATTTTTTTCGTCCGCTTCCATATAGTACTTCCTCTTCGTCTGTACGATACAGAGATCTTACATGTAAATTCATCAACGAATTTCTTTAAGAATTCCATTCATGGAAGATAAAGACACAGAGCTACTGTGCAAGGTCACTGCAAACCATCTATTCTTGGCTCAATTCGAGCCTTTCCGGGCCACGGTGCGAAGCCTCCGAGCCCGAAATCCGGACCTGGCACGGGCCATCCTCCAAACAATAGTTTCCAGTGGCGGACGGCTGGGCAACGGTGATTTTGATTCGGGTCAGATTCTGTGGTCTGACTCATGTCCTTCACCTGCCGTACTCACCTTCCTCTGCACCCTCGAGCTCCTTGAGTTCCCCGATGCCACCTCGCAACTCTGGTCGTTTGATGATAATTCGCTGAAATTGCGTGCTGAGTTCTTGCTTTATGTCCACACGATGAGCGCTCGGGTTTTGAGTGTGCTCAAAGACAGTGTAAATTTGGAGGGAAATGAGAATTTTGATGAAGGAATTACAAGAAATGAGGAGTTGAGGGTTTTACAAGGGTTTCTGGTGGTGGGTTCGAGCAGGTTGAAGCCGGATTTGATTGAGTTGGAAGAAAACGGAGAAGAAAATGAGGGTTTTTCAGGGTGCTTCTCGGAAGAGGAAATAATGGGATTGAGGGGGTTAATTTTGAAGATTCCAGACATTTTTGATGTGTTGTGCGGGAACATAGAGAAGCAAGTTGGGCGCGTGGAGAGTGATGATTCAGGATTGGCAATCGCATTAAGAACAGAAATGAGGCGGAGGGAGAAGGAAGAGGGGATGCTCAGATTGATACAAAAATGTGTCCAGGTGGCACATCTAGATGCCATGAGGGAATGCTTGGAGGAAAACAACGAAGATGGTGCGGTTTCACATATTAGGTTTCTTCATTTGGATCACGGAGTGGAGGAGGCCGAGTACAGGTATGAATCTTGTTTTTTTGCTAACCTTGACTGACCCACTACTGGTCCGATGACTACTCGAGTGTGGAATAGGAAGTATATTGGCTGGAAAATGTGTTACTGGTCATTAGCTGAAATTCTTTGTGGTTATCTTCGACTCATCATGCCTTTGATCAGTTATAATAGAACGTATACAGCATCTTAGTGAATGTTGTCTGGTCGTTATTTATTTAAAGATACAAGTTCTCTCGACCTGCTATATTGAATTTTATCTTCTTTTTTTTTTTTTTTTGTACTCCCACAAAAAAATGACAAGGTATTATAACTCTTGTATTGTTCACATATTGTACAATTTTTTGCCAACTCATTTTGGTCATGGAGTTGAGAATGGGAGAAGCTTGAGTTGGAATTCAGAACTTAGAAAAGACACAGAGCCTGAGCCCGTTTATTTTGGGATACACTTTGAAAACGTCAAAAAGTTAAAGGACTTTGTTTAAGAGATAAATGAATGCAATAAGATGTATGCTCATGAGAATGTTGGGGAAAATAATGAAGGTTTGTGGTTACATATGTATTCGTGGATGCAACCATGCATTTGGTAAGACATACCTGTAACCGGTCCCAAATGGAACTTGAATTGCATGCTTAACTTATTGATACAGTTAAAAACTGCTGCAGCTTTCTTTTGTTTTTCCTTCGTTGCTGGAAACTGGTCTTTTTCTATGAACCATTAACATTATATAGAAGGACATGTCTTTACCTTTCTGGGTCTTTAATGCTCCAAAAATATTATGCTCTTACCCCGATTTACAATCACTACTTTGAAGAAATAAAACAACAGTCATGCTATTGCGGGAACAAATATGTCATGTTACTCAAAAACAATTATGACATTAACTACAGAAGTAAAAAGATAATAGGCAGAATTATATATACCCAATAGAAGTCAGTATTTTCGAATGGAACAAATCAGTTAGTATTTCCCAGAACTTATTGTTTCATGCCTTGCCTCGAGTTTTGTGCATGGCTCCTTCTAGAAGTGCATCTTTACCTTCCCTTCTGCTTGTGATTCCTAACCTAGCATCTCATATGACTTTCAGTCAGTTGTGTAAGATTGCATACCTTTTTCGCAAAACTGATAGCTGTTGAGCTTTCTTGTGACAAATCATAATTTACCTTTTTTGTATTAATTTTGATTATAATCTTCTAGCTATTTATTTTTTCTTTGTTTTATTTTCTAATAGCATGATTTTGCAAGATCTCCTCAAGAAGTTTTCATCAGGGAAGGCTGATTATGGAAATACCTGGCACGCTATGCGAGCTAAAGTCTTCTTAGTGTATTCAGAAGCACTTTCATCTAATTGCACACGCCTTGTGCTAATGATTCAGGTGGTGTTGATACTTCTATCCTTTTATATGTTACACATTTTCATATAAACATTTATGTTAACTGATAATGTTGTGAACGGAAATATTCCATGAACTCGGGGAAGATGTGGTTAAGCGTATTCTTAGGTCACATGTTTTTGAGACGGAGTTCACCCTTTCATTTCTTATAAAAAGGATGTCCAGGAATAAAAGAGAATTAACTAGTGAGTAATAGTCGTTGAAGATATTAGAATACCTGATTTCGTTTTGTATCTCTTGAAATGGTTGTAAACTCAAAAGTGCCTGACTGAATGACCATTTGGTTATTTTAATTAATTAATGGTGCATTTGTAACCCCTTGAAGTTGGGGGACTTTTATATTTGCTGCATCAACATGCTTGCACTTGTTACATGTGGATTTATTTCTTTATGCTTCAAACATCTTGAGTTGTATGAAATATAGCATTGGTTTATAATGCGAACAGGTTAAGAAACAAGAAAAGCCAGAGCAGTTGTTATTCATACTATCAGTTGTACATAGATATGGATCTGGCCTTGAAGTATATGCGGTTATGCTTTCCAAATTGTTTATAATAATTCTTAGTGTTGGTCATTATATAGGAATAGATAATCTGCATTATGTATCGAGGAATACAAATGGAGTATTTATGTTTATAATTGGTCTCACAGGTCATCCAGGACAAATTACTTTCTGAAGAGATTGAGGTGTACAATGCTTCTGAACACAACCAGATTCCTCTACCTATTCAGCGCCTTCTAACTTTTTTTGCAGAATTGATGCCCGAGCCATCATCAAAGGAAACACCTTTATCTTTGAAGATTGCAACTGCTTCTTGCATGAGAGACTTGTATCATTATGCTCGCGTTCGTGGCTTGCATGCTTTCGAATGCATAATAGACACTGCCTTGTCTCTTGTGCAAAGCGAGAAGCTACAAGAAGCTTGTGAGGTGTGTCTTGTATTACTTGTGTTGCTATGAAATACCGTCATTGGGTTATTGACAAGTCATGATTCATTTAATATTTCAGTTATATATCCCTTTGAAAGTTCAATTTATAGGACAAAAGTAAGTTTTACTGAATCATATAAGATTGGTAAGAATTAATATAGCCCCTGTTTAGTAGAGATTCTCCCCAAACTCATTTTCAACCTAACATTCTTCCAATAAAATAATTTTACATATGGACGATAACATTTCCATACTTTTAACAACACGTTCTCCAAAAAAAAAAAAAATTACTTTTTACAAAATCTATTCGCAAAAATCTATATCAAACATGCTCATAATTGTATTGTATTTGGATGTTGGTCTTCTAAGATCATCAACACCCCTTCTCTTTGACCTCTTTTTCTTGGAAATCAAAAGTTCCTCTACTTTGAAAGCTTTCATTTTGTACATGATACTTGGAAAACCTCAATACGTAATGCGCCAACCAGGGTTTCACCTGATGTATGTGATGTCCAAAAGGCAAAGTAAAATTTTAGACACCTAATTTTCTTTCTAATAGTGCAATATACCTGTGGTGTACGTTGTCTCCGATTTCGGAAATCGATTTTCTCCAATATATTTCTTATGGGCGTTGTTGTTTTCTCTTAACCATCCAAAACATGCAGTCTGTTTTCAGTAATTTCTTTTTTAGACTGATTCCAGTTCCCAATAAATTTTTATTCTTGCATTTCTTGTCTGAGGATGCTTTGCACTTGTCCTCTGCACTACTGTCTTATTAAATTCTGTTGTATCTTATTGGATAAAGTTAGGTCCTTGTTTGATTTAGCTAAAAATCAGATTTTTAGTAGATTTTGATTAAAGTTGATGAAATGAGTGGTTGAAAAGTTGATAAAAATTTGTGGGTTTTATAAAATGTGTGGTTGAAAACGAGTTTGAAGAAAAATGAGTTATAGAAAATGGGGGGCCAAACAGGGGCTAGAAAGTTGGACAAAGATTATAATTTGTAATAAATAACAATCTGGACCTTTTTGGATCTTTTCAGTTATCATCATTTATAAATTACTTTGCTTTTGAACCTTGACGTTTAACGTTGCGTTAAAATATAATTTTGTGGATTTGCCCACTCTTCACCCCTTGAGTCACCGTCGTCACCGTGTCTCTTTCGTCAAAGACTGGAAACGACGGGAATCCTATCTGTAAATAGTAACAGAAGACCTCGTATATTGTAGTGTATAAATGTATAACCTATGGGCCAGTGAGCCTTCTGTTTCGAAAAATGAAATCTTAGTAAAAAAAGACCGGAGACAAACCCTTCCAACATTAGTTACTAAAACCTTCTTTGATGTGACAATCAACGGCAAAGCATTGCTTTCCCTCAGGTAGCACAGTTCATTTGTTTCATGCACAGAGGTGATGAGGGGTGCTAACCCACTATACTCTTTAAGTTAAAAGGAAAAGAAATCTTTCCTTCATAAACCTCTTTCCAGGAATCCTAAAGAAAAAGGAAAAATCATTTCTGCAGCCTTTTTCCTTCTATAACTATATAAAGGACAGAGTAGTCTTTCTGATGGAGAGTAATCATAATGCCTTTTCTGTTGCAAAGTTATCGGCTCCTTCATTTTCTTTTCGATTCTATCCTCATCAAGACTATCTTTATATTCATCAATGTCTTCTGTCCATGCATTTGGTAGGTTCTTTCACTGTTTCCCTGGCTTCAACCCTTGGTAGCTGCCTTGGGTTGGGATCTGTTGTCCGGCAAAACACTTCTGAGAAGAAAGCTGATGCAGTTAATGTGGACGAGTAAATCTCAAGTTCTTCGATTAGAAGAGTCTTCTCTTTATGGTAATAAAACAGATGAGGTAAATATGCTTTTCAAAATCTGGTAGATATAATTCTACAGTCTATAACCAGCACAATCCTTTTTTTTTTTTTGTGCCAGATACACCTTTCTATATATATATATTTATTTATGAACAAGTGCATGTATGGATGTATGTTTGTGTACCATATAAATGTATCTCCATTTCTTCCTTCAGCGTTAACCGACAGTTAGGTTTCCTTAACATTTTGTTATTACGTTGGTAGGCATCCTGCATCGAACATCTTTGTGATTCATTATGCTATCAGCTTGATGTTGCTTCTTTTGTTGCCTGCGTCAATTCTGGTCGACCATGGAATCTGAAATCCTCTGTACTATTGTCTGGAAAAGAAATCACCGAACTGGGAGATGAAAATGTTCAATGGGATCCATTTGTTGAAAATTTTGTATTGGAGAGGTTATCCTTCCAGAGCCCCCTTCGGGTAAGACCCTTATGTAAGATTATTGATGCATAGTTGTCTTATACTCCTTTTCTTCGGAGGCCTTGAGAACACGGGTTTATCTCTGGTACTTATTTGGTGAATGCATACTTATATGCATAAATGTTTTGATTTTTCTGTACCTTCTTGTTTGCATGGATTTATAATTATTCTTTTTGCTGTAGGTTATATTTGATTTAGTTCCAAGCCTAAAATTTCAAGATGCTATTGAACTACTTAGCATGCAGCCGATCACTTCTACTCTATCAGCTTGGAAGAAGTAAGACAATGCATGCTTGTTCACTGGACCCTACGATTGTTTGGTTTCTATCTCTAACTTATTTACATAAGCAAATTTATCTTGCTGAGGTCGATACTGTTACTAATATGTGAATGGTAGTTTAGAACTGTGCTAGCTTTATGGACTCACTGATTTTGCATTTTTCTTTAATTTACCTCACGCGAGCAAATGCTCAGGCCAGCAGAGATGCGGATTTTCTTGTGAGTGAAAAATATTATTACAGTTGAGTTTTTCCAATCTAAAGAGCTCTTACTTTGAGTTGCAGAACTACACCACATGCTGTTCCCTTCTAATAATGGTTGTTCACTTTTCAGTTCTCATAGTCAATTGCTACTCGATTGTACCACATTTAATATATTTATATGTATAGAATCAGGAAAGACCTGTAGATTTTCCTAGTACCCACATGTTAAAAATCTCTCTCTCCTTTCTCTGTTCAAATTGATTATATGAAATCTCACTAGTATACCTATATTCTGATATTCATCAAGTAATACCAGGTAAGACAAGCTTTAGGTTTTTATTTTACCATTTAAAAAGATAAGAAATTAATATACTAATTCTCAGAATATA